TGAGGATAGGGTACTGTCTGTCTTGTCAATTGCTGTATTCCTGCTGCCAAGAACAGTACCTGGCACCTGGTCGTCTCACTAGTATTTTTTTAATAATTAAGTACAGGTGCAAAGGAATGAGTTGTTTTGGGGGCTGAGGAAGACAGAATTTGAACTTGGATGGGTGGTGATGATGGCATTAAGGAAAAGCTTGAGGTTAGTAGGAAGAGCTGTTTTGGCCCAGCCTGAGACATGTGGAGTTTCAGACACCAACTAAACATGTTTGTTTAGGAGTCCAGAGCTGGGCGAGGGCGGCAGTGGTGACTTGCTGAGGTTGTCACATCCTGGATGAGGTGGTGTGACAGGACCTCTGAGGCTGAGTAAGACGTGGCTTGATGAAGAGGGCCCCAAAATACTGAGGAGTCGAGGAGATGGAAGCTTGTCTGGGAGGACAGGGTGGATGGAGGTGGAGTGGGCACTGGGAGGGATCTGTGCGTGGACCTGGTTAACTGGAGCAAGGAAGGCGGTGAGAGACAAAGCCGGGAGCTTGGCTGTGCCTGCTGGCTTAACGTTTGTCCTTCTGCCTAGACTAAAGGAAGCTGAGTGGGTGAGGGCAGCTGGGCCGCCGAGCACCGAGTCAGGGGCCTGAGTCATGTCCTAGACCAGCGTTGGCCAGCAGTCACCCCTGTGTTTCTGTGCAAGCTTTTATGAGCCCGGTGCCCATCCTCTGTCTTTGCTTCACCTGTTGCCACCCCGTTGGCTTGGACCGCTGCTTCTGCTGTATGTTGGACGCCCGCCTTCCATCTCTGCCCGTGCGGGGCAGTGGGTGGCCTGGGCAGTCAGCATACACTAGGTCTGGGCTTCAATTTTACACCTGAATTTAGTTTAAACAAAACAAAACCCTCCCCTGTTTGGATGGAGACATGTTGGTGAGGTTAGTTCTTTTATTTTCTTTTTTCTTTTTTAGTTCTTTTATTTTCAAACCTCGGGTTTTATACTCTTTCTTTCTCTTTCAATTAATGAGCAGAAATAGTGAAATACTTTCATTCAAATAAAATTTTTAAAGTTCTAAACATAGAACTAGTATATTATATAATTTAACTAAGTGAAATGAAATTCTCACCATTCTTCATTCATATTCAAAACTAATTTTATGTTATTACAAAAAGGCTTATAAACCTCCCCTTATTTTTTTTTTTTTAAAGTTGTTTAGCCTGGTTGACTCATTATGATGAGTTTCACACTTTGGTTTAATCTCCCCAAGGTGAAAGTTGACCAGAAAGAAGTTGTCTCACCTCTCAAAAGATAGTGTGACTTTTTAAATTGTTTTTGGTTTTGCTTTTGTTTTTTGAGATGGGAGTACAGACCATGAGATAATGATTATCAGTCAACATTTACTAAGTGATCTTGTGTGCCAGGCACTGTTCAAAGCACCTTGCATGTCATTACTCCACTTTATTGTCGCAGCAGCTCTGCTGGGTGGGCACTCTTATTGTCCCCACTTTACAAATGAGAAACAGAGAGGTTAAATAACTTCAGGGGGATGGCAGGGCCAGGGTTCAGATGCAAGCATCTTGCCCCAGAATTCCTGCTCCTGACCTCTCTGCCCTCCTGTTCATCCTGTTTCAGGAGCAGGGAATGGTGCAGTGGGACCATTATGTGAGGATGGGTCTGCACCCGGCTAGCTGTGTTGTATACAATAGGTTATATTATTTCACTCATGTTAGTGGTTGAAGAAGGTGAGATTGAACGTTTTTAGTTTATTTTTTCTATTACCAATCACAACTTAAAATACTTCCTCTTGAATTCCAGTAATATTTTTCATTTATTCATTGAGCAAATATTTATTGAGTACCTACCATGTGCCTAGTAGCACTGTTAAAGAAAGGTAGTGGGGATATAGGAGTGAGCATGACAAATAAGGTCTCCCTCATGGAGCTTACATTCTGGTAGGAAACATAGAATAAATACCTAAAGTTGCTGTGAAAAAAATTAATGCAGGTTAAGAGACAGAAAATGAAAGGCAGGAGCATCTCTTAAGAGATTGCACGTGTGGGAGACAGGCATCAAGTGAGGGAGTGAGCTTCGGGGAGATCTGAGGGGCGCAGATGCTGGAAGTGGGAGCAGCAGCAAAGAGACCAGGAGACTGGATGGGAGTGAGCCGGGGAAGCAGTCAGAGACCAGGGAGGAACGGTGGTCAGGCTTCACGCAGGGCCTGGTTGGCTACAGTGAGGACCTGTCTCCATTCACCATCCAGGTGGGGCAAGAAGCAGGTGGGTTGGGAGCAGGGGGCCACGTGATCTTCACTCTGGGTGCTGTGTGGAATGACCTGTGACTCAAGAATGATCTTGGAATTATCTTAGAGAAAGGTTGTATTGTAAATAATAACTTTCTAACTCAGACTAGCCTAATTTATATTTTAAAGTATTATTCAGGTACATTCAACACTGTTTCTTATTCTCTTTCATTTGTTAGTCATTTGAAGGTGGAACATGATACTGTGAGCCCCCGAGAGACAGAATATAGGATTCCCTGTTATGATGACTCATGGTCAAGCCTTCAGAGTAGTCAGGGAAACAGCATCTATGCTGAGAAATGGAGCTTCAGTTTTCTTTAATTCGAAATAAAGGGAGCAAATATGAAATGGCACAGTGAACATTTCCCCCTATAGGTTCTTTCCCATGTAGGTTCTTTCAGCTCTGGTTATTATAAATAGTCCTTTTGAACTTTATTTATGTATTTAGCCACATGCAAGCATTGTTTTATGTGATATCTATTTGAATTATGCTAGGAGTAATTTAAATAAAGAGAAGGGCCGGCCCGGTGGTGCACTGGAGAGTGCGCCGCCTGGGAGCACGGTGGCGCTCCCACCTAGGGTTCAGATCCCATGTGGAGACCGGTTCCCGCTCACTGGTTGAGTGCGGTGCAGGCGCGACACCGAGGGTTGCGATCCCGTTACCGGTCAGTAAAAAAGACAAAAAGGAAAAAAATAAATAAATAAAGAGAAAAGTTTAGAACTGTTATTTTATATCTGGTTTCTGATATTTGTTTTTACAATTTAAATTTTATTTTTGTACCATATGTCATTACATATAACGAATAATTTATATACATTATGTATATAATGTATGTATTTTTTTCCCCATGAAGTTCCAGAAATGATTCTTATTATATTTAGATTCAGACCTCCTGGAAATTGCAAATTCAACCTGTATTTCTTAAGACATATGGTAATAAATATAAAGAAATTTAGCCATCTCATCAACTTTTATGTTTAAAAGGGGTATTTGTTTAGAGTAACATTTATTCAGAATTGTTGATTAATGGAATATTCTAGTTAAAGTTGATTTTTCAGATAATGAAGGTTATTACCCAAAGGATCCTTGCATTTGCTGTTTATAAAGAACTAGAAATTTTATTGCTGTCTAGATGTTTTCAGACTGGGGTTGGGGGCATATGTATGCATGAGTGTTTGAGGCTGGTGAGTTCTAGGCTCCTTAGGCTAGGTTTAATCCCAGTTGTTCTTCTATATGAGGCTTTCAGGAAACCTTTGGTTGGATAATAAGGTTTCTATTGCACATTGCCCACCATGTAAAAACACTATCAGAAAAGAATCGATTTTCCTAGGTTTATTAAGAAGGTAGTTCCAAGATATCGATGATGGTCTAAAATCATCTTTTATAAAATCTACATTTTTTTATTTGCTTTTTATGGATTAATGAATAAAATTTGTTAGTTAAGTATTCTGGTTATTTGCAGTCTAGATGAACAGAAGTGAACCAGAGGCCCTCTCTAGCTCCTGGGTATTTATTTCAGTATAAATTAACAATACAGTTTCTTATCAATCAGGTCTTTCACTGTTCGTAAGAATCATGCTACCATAACTCCTAGTAACAGCACATTGAACTCTAGTAACCGAAAGTTTTTATAGCTGATGACTTCACTGGGACTTGTCTAGACAGCAGTTACTGTCTAAAGTCATAGCATGTCAGGGCTGGAAGAGATCTAACAAAGGTACTGAAACTTAGATAGCCTGAATGTTCTATTTGCCATTGTAGCCACGGTTTTGGGGTTTGAGGATTGGTGAGACCCATGACTTCAGCACGGAAAGTGGGAAACTGATAGGTATAAATATGGGGAAGGGCCTAACCTTGGTTTTGGATACAAATATAAACAAACAAAAGTATTTTTCTCTGGAAACAACAGCAAATTTAAAAGGAATTTGACGTCTGGTCATTTCTGTCAAAATGAGAAAGACTCCTGCAGGTTATACCTCGAAAAAATAATTGTAGTCCATAAATATGTCACCCTTCTGTCCTTGGCAAAATAATGCAAGCTTTAAAGAAATGCTTGCATTATACTATTTGCTAATGAAATCCATATGCTGTCAACTGTCATTTTCTGTGCGGTTTGGATTTGTTCTGTGTGGTTCCCCAACCTTTACCCATTTCAGTCAAGTCAACAAGATAGTTCGTCAAATAGAAAAGCTCATTTACTTTTTTTAAACAAACTTTTTAACTGGTGTTTTCCTTTCCTGGCTATTGACATACAACTGCTAGATGTATTTTAATATAGAGCCTAAACTCTGTAACCCCACGGCTTTACCTGGCCTATAAATGACAATGATTGGAATGTACCTGCTAGTCCAGAGGAGTCTTAGATTTGGCCTCAGTGTCCAGCATAGAAATAGCCTGTGTCTGAGAAAGTCGCTTGAGAGGGCTTTGTATGATTTCGGTGTTTGAACACTTGTGCGGGTCAGGCGGTTGCAACGTCAGTGCCCTGAGGTCAAACATGAGCTGAGCTTCCCATTAGCTTTGTGAATGGGAGAAAGTGACTTACGTCTATAAAACTTTTGTCAGGGCAAGAACACTAACAATTTCCTGATGACTTTGACTTACTGGGACTAAATATAACATGCTTTGTATTTGGTAGAAAGTTCTCACGTGAGGTGTACTCTGCTCCAGCCCTGTTACAATGAATGTGTTAACTCCTGCCTTCATCTGATTGTCACCCTTCTGTAGGAAGCTGCCCTCTGTAGACAGCTCCCCATGGAGGCCGAGACTCTGGCCACAGTCCAGGCTGCTGTCAACCCACCCGCCATGACCCCAGACATGAGATCCATCACAAATAATAGCTCAGATCCTTTCCTCAATGGGTAAGTTAACATTTTGGGGCCACTTATCTCTTCATTATGCAGTCTAGACTATAATGGGGTCTTTGTCTACATTGGGAAAAGATGGGGAGCTTGAGGGTTGGGGGTAGAGGGGGGATATGGGGGAGTGGCAGAAAAAAGAAAAGCAGAGGAAGTCATTTTTTAAAGTTCTCAAATTCGGAAATTGGTGATATGACATGGAGTAAACCCCATCAGTAATTTGAAAATGGGCATGAACGTATGATTTAAACAAGATGGCATTGTCTCGTAATTATCCTTGGAAGAATCTTGTGGTTTTATGTAGCCAACAGGAGATAAAGCATGTCATGTAGCAAATTGAGAGCAAAACAATTAAGAGATGGTGTTTATGGTGAAATGTGAATAGGATCTGTAGTTGAGTTAATAGTATTCTGTAATGCCAGTTTCCTGGTTTGGGGAGTTGTACTATGGTTATGTCAGATGTTATCACTGGGGAGCTGGGTGAAAGGTCCGTGCAGACGCTCTGTACTCTCTTTGCATCTCTTATGTGAGTCTAAAATTACCTCACAATTAAAAAATTAATTGAAACGGAGATGATGTTTTTAAGAAATGAAACATAGGAGCAGTAGGAAAAGATAATTTAGTCAAAAATATTTGTCTATGTAGAAGTAGTCAACCTTAATTTTTACCTTTTATACCTAAATAAAGGGCAGTACTGTATTTCCTGTTTTCTCTGCCCTCGCAGAGGCTGCTGGCAAACAAGTACGCTGACCTGCATTTTAAAAGAGAGAGAGAGGGGGGATGAGAACAAATAGTAACCGAAATAATGAAGGAATGCGGTTTTTAAGTTGTTGATTTTAAACTATTTAAAGTACAGGAAGTATAAAGAATATCACGAGTTACTCATGTACCCACCACCCAGATTTGCCACATTTCCATCCCAATTTTATTTTTCTTAGTAAACAGAATGTTACAATCAATGTTTTAATCCCTCCCTCCCCATCACCACTGAAATCTCGCTTCTTCCCCTCTGTCCCCAGGGGTAGCCACTGTTCAGAAGCGGGCGTGTGTTTACCACACATGTCTTTATACTTCTTACTGCCTGTTAGTGTGTATGTCCATAAGCAATATTCAGCATTGTTCTCTGTTGTTTAAACTTTTACATAAATGGTATCACACTCTATATGTAAAATAGTGTTCAAATGGTTGTTTTGAGAAGAAAAGGAAATCAATGTCAATTTACTATGAATAGCCAGATGTGTTTGCTTACAACTTATTAACTTTGTTGACATTAGAATGTATATTTCAAAATTCAAGGGAGGTGCAGAGTCTGTTTCCTTTGACTACCTGGAAAGTTGGATAGGATAACAGAACTACACTAGCTTAGAGTTTTTGTGACTGTATTTTAATTTTGACATTTATTTATGGGCTCACACCGAAGTTTCTCCGTCTTTTGCTCTCCAGAGGACCCTATCATTCGAGGGAGCAGAGCACTGACAGCGGCCTGGGGTTGGGGTGCTACAGTGTGCCCACGACTCCAGAGGACTTCCTCAGCAACGTGGACGAGATGGACACAGGTGGGAGCAACGCCTGCACCTACCTGCGGTGTGTTCGTGTCTGTACCATGGTGACTTTGGTCATCTCAGTTCTCAAATCCAACCAGAAACACTGAATCTCAACAACACAAAACGGTGACTGAAAAGCCACCCAACCCCCATGCTCTATTAATAGACTCTAGCCCCTGCCCGTGGTTCATACAAATATAGTTTTACATCTGGGCACAGGATTTTAAGTTCTACTTTTTATTTTACTCATCCTTGCTTCGTGTAGCCCCTTCCTCACGATTGCTTTGACGTACCACTGTCTGCTTTGCTGCTCCGCCACAGTGGGACATTTGCGCTGGTCTAGTTTTGGTTGTAATGTATGAGCCACTTTTTCTCCTGGGAATTGGTACTGGTTTATGGTTCTGCCAGCATGCGGATTTTTTCATGTCATTCATGCATTTGGGAAGCAATCAGCAGTGGGCATGTGGAAAGTTAAGCAACTCAGAGGATTCTAAATTATAAGCTCCAACTTCCAACATGGCAATGATGTCCTCCATCAGCAATTAAAAAGAAGAGGGTCAGGGTGACTTTTACCTAGTTCCCAGCCTGTGCGTCCTCAGGTCAGGCCTCAGCAGGCTTCCTGAATTACCTCCCTTTTTTCCCTGTTCTCAAGGAGTGAGACCTCCAACTGCAAAAACTGAATTTAGTCTTATTAGCCTAATCTAGACTTAATTATGAAACTCATAACCCCCCAGAAGATACTCTAAGAACCAAAAATAAATGAAGCTGAAGTATTCATTATTTGGAGTAATTCCTGTAAGTTTCTCCTCCATTATCATTGATGATAGAAAATTAATTGTTCTATAATGAAAGTAAAAAATTGCTTTCCCCAAAGCATCTGTCTATAGCGCCTGTAGTTTGTTTCACTCTGCTCCTAGGTGCTTCCTCTTCATTCTGTGAATCTAAATGGTTGGTAAGACCAAGAATTAAATTTGTAGCCAGGTGTCTCATGAGTGCAGTGTCCTGAAGCAGCTCCCCCAGGCTGTCATCTTTGTGCTTAGAGGATTGCACAGACTGTCCTGTGAGGAGTCACACAAGAATAGTTTGAACTGTTTGTTTTGCTGTTCTTCAATTTATTACTTCTGTTTTGTCTTTCTCTCCATGTCCCATTCCCCCCTCCCCTTTCATCTCTCTATTGTTTGGTGTGAGATTTATTTTGCTCTGTTTGGAACATCTTTATTATGAAGTGGCTCCTTCCTATGTTAATAATTGTTTACTTTCATCTTTTAAACTCTGGGAAGCCAGTAAGGATAAAAAGCAAAGTTAAATAAGAAACTCAGGAGAGCTCAGTGTAAGCTTGACATTAAAAAAAAAAATGGATTCTATTCTACATCTCTTTAAAATGACCTCAAGTGGGTAAATAGGGAGTATTTTGAAACCATAACATGGAATTAAGTGGTATTCTGAATAGAACATAATCTTTGCAGACAGTGTGGAATTCTTGCTTCTCCACTCCTGGTAGTAGCTTTGGTAAATTACGTAACCTCTGCGGGCCTCAGATTTCTCACTTATAAAGTGGGAGTAATATGCTCACCTCATAGTGTGAGGAGTTCTAAGATCACAGAGCCTGGCACAAAATCCCTTCTAAGTAGGCTGACATAGTGTACAAAACGGACTTAGTAATTGTTGGGGTTCCAAGTTAACCTGGTTAGGTGAGTGTCAGCTCATTGAGTTTAGGGTCATCTCTGTGAAGTCTTTTTAGGAAGGGGACATAAACCCTTTCAACAGGAGAAATGTAATTACAGAGTAACAAGATGAAGAAAAGCCATGGGTGGGCGGAGTTTAAACGGGGCTAGAAAAGATCTGTCAGGCCTGCTGGCCACACGCTGGCCACGCACTGACCACGCACTGACCACGTGCTGAGTGGGAACGAGCCAGCTCAGCACTCCGTTTGCAGAACACACGTGGAAGCAACAGCTGGACTTGGTGCGAGGATAGAGGGTGGGGAATAGCACGAGTGGAGGCTGGAAGTCATCCATTCTTCCAGAACGTTCTGCACTAGTCACACTCTTAAGAATTGCCTGGTTTTGGTCTCTCCCACTTTTTAAGTAGATAAAACTGCAAAGACCAAAAAGCTTACTGTGAGATTGCAGAGTTGCTCCAAAGAGAGATATTTTAACATTGTTAACCTTAATGAAGAAGCTTACCTGGTCTCATGCTTTCCATGTCTGAGAAAGAATAAGAGGAATTATTTAAAACATTTCATTTGGCTTAAAAAAAAAATGTGTTCTTGAGTATTAGAAAGTTAAAATGGGAACTCAGTAGAGACGGGTGATCCTAATTGGAGATAAAAAAGACGTCCAGCACTTTAGATCAGATAGTTTTTTAGGACAGATAATTTTTTGAGCCTCATTTCCATCTCTTTCACTCTAATGGGTAGAAAAAATTTATTTTGGACTTTTTTTTTCCTATTTTGATGTTTTCCATTATCAGTAACACTGTATTGAGTCATGTTGTTGAACTTGATTTAATTTTTTAAATTACTGCCCTTTGCAATGAAAATCCTGTAAAATACTGCCTAAGAGTCACTGATATTTATTTTGTGACTTCTAGAAAAGCCATTATGCTTTGCTACCACCAAAATGTAAGCTTAATCATGTTTCCATCATCACTTGGAAAGATGTAATTTTTCTCCTTGGAAAACACATAGAGTTGAAATGAATTTTCTGCAGTTTTGCTCAGAATAGTGAAACTTCTGTGCATGCTTTTCTGGAAGGCTACTGCAATTGAGAGATAAAAAAGCTAATTTAACAAGTTTCTTTAAAATGATTCTATGGTAGAAGCTGACCTTAGTTATTAATGCTTCTTAATCTTTGAGGTAGATTTTATCCCTTCAGAAAATTGTTTGTTTGAGGCTGTTTGAATTAATCAGTTGTTCTGATATCGTATAATTAATAGTGGCTGAGTTCCTAGGTTTTTTTCTCTCTCAGCACAATCAACAGACATTTATTATATTTTTGTATGTATGGAACCCAGAGCCATGAATATGTGGCAGACAGTATATGGCACTTTTAACTTCTGGAGAAAATACTATAATCCTAATTTCCAGCTGGGCTCCGTGGGCATCAGACAAGTTATGTGTGTCCAGGGTCACACAGCTGAAAAAGCTCAGTCTAATGACGCAATTCAGTGTGTTTTCTCCCATACTGTTACATTGTTACATGTAAAGAGTGTTATGTCATTCCTGTCATATCCTAGACACCTTGTTAGGACACTTAACTCTTCTCTAGTACAGCATTTTCTCAACTCTGTTCTGGAGAACTCTAGTTCTATTAGGATATATGTTCTGCCAAGATAGGATTAAGTCATTAAATGGGCTTAAGATATAGTGGCTTAAACAAAATAAAAACAGATTTGTTGAAGGACTTTGAACCTTAATATGCTCCTGTGCATTGTGACTCGCAGGCATGTGAGAAAGGTAGATGGTTGTGGGGTGTATGTGCTGTGCAGGGAGGGGACGGTCTGCAGAACCACTCTATAAATGATGCCTAAAGCCATCAGTGAAGAGAGATTATTTTTTAAAGTTCTCAATTGGCTTGATTGCGTTTCTAGAATTGGCTGATACTTCGTTTCACAAAATAGAACAAGTGTTTGGTTTTATAGACAGGAAAAGGTGAAGAAAGCAGAAACAAAAAACAAAAAGTGGGATTGGTCATTTTAAAGTTACTTTCCCTGCACGGTGGGGACAGAGAGACAGAACAATAGGAAAGAAACCGCTTATTTCACATCATGTTACTTTGGGCCGTCCTTTTTGTGTAAGGATTAAAGCAGAGGGAACTTCATTATCATGCCTATTGAAGATTGAAGCTGGCCTGTTGGGGAAATTGGTGATATATCTCTCTCCTGATTTCTCAGAAGGTCAGACCACTACGAGGTTTAGGTTTGGTGGTATGGAATTTAGTAAGGGTGACTCCGTTTTTATTTTTATTCTGGTCTTTTGGGGCCTAATGCAGCAATTTAGTCCAAAATATTGGCCTTCTATAATTTTTATTTAACACTTCCTGCCTTCTGGTCAGGCTGTCACCCAGGTGACCAAAACAGGGCTTCAGTGCTATTCTCAGTTACCATCAAAGACAGCTTCTTAATAACATGGTTAAAAGAAACTCTGTATTATCTTTGAACATAAAGAAGGATGATATGGGTAAATATAAGCTTATCATTAAATCTGTAGATTATAGCTCTGTAAGAAGGTATTTATCACAGCGGGGGCCTCTCTGCTTTTCTGCAAAGCAGCTCTTCCTGCCTCTGTCATGGGAAGGCACAGATTGTAGGCCAGATCCACAGTGCCTTTTACATGCCCCTTTCTTACGTCCCTGGACTTTTCCATTCTGGACCACGTCTACCCAGAAACAATTTTGGGATTTCCCCTGGCCTCTCTGCACTTCCTAGAGTGAGGGTCAGTAATGTGATAGCTAAAGACATGAAGATGGGAGTTATGTTAACACATGAACTGTCCCTCTTTCAAGAGCTTAAAAGGAGGAATTAAATGGTTTCCCTTCATTCTGTTATAGGAGAAAACGCAGGACAGACACCCATGAACATCAATCCCCAGCAGACGCGTTTCCCTGATTTCCTTGACTGTCTTCCGGGAACGAATGTTGACCTAGGAACTTTGGAATCTGAAGATCTGATCCCCCTCTTCAATGATGTAGAGTCTGCTCTGAACAAAAGCGAGCCCTTTCTCACCTGGCTGTAATCACTACCATTGTAACTTGGATGCAGCTGTGACCTGACATTTCCTGGGCCTCTTGGAAAAAGCGGTGGAGCAGAGCAAGTCTGCAGGTGCACCGCTTCTGCCTTCATGACTAATGCTCCCTCCTTTCCATGTGGCCAGTTGAATCATTGCCTAGTTTTGATTGACAGTAACTTAAGTTAAACATAAGTAAATATTCTATTTTCATTTTTTGCAAGCCTGCATTCTTATGACAGATGATGCAGAATTGTGTCTGCAGGATTGAAAATGCAGGATTGCTTTTCTTTTTTTCTCTCTGCTGCCCCATGGCTAAGCTTTATGGGTATTAATTGAAATCTATACATCAATTGATTATAAACCATAAAAAGCTGACCACAGGCAGTGAATTCTGATGGGCAGCTTGGTCCAGGAAATGTGCACAAAATTAGACCTGATTTACAGTTTCAAAAACTGTGTTAATGACAGTAGTACCAAATGCTTTAAAAACTATTTAACTTGAGCTTTAAAAATCATTGTATGGATAGTAAAATTCTGCTGAAAGGAATATGATGTAGTTTTGAATCCATGCTGGCTCCAATGGCTCTTACTACTCTGTATTTACAAAGGCACACACAGTCCTATCGTAGTCTATCCTTCATCGTGTTACTGCATAGCATCTAGACAGCTTAGTCCTTCCAGCGGAGGGTAACCGCATCATTAGTCACAGTTTGTACACTACAGATTTTCTGAAAGAGACCAGTTTGGTACTAATTACGAGCATTTAATAAACAGAACTTTTTGAAAATTGCAACTTGGATTTTTAAAAATTGCAGCTTAGAATTTGATGTTTATTTTATAAAGCACTGTAATTTTGTAGCTGATGACAAAGGCAGACAAATGCTTTTGATAAATTGATGGCGACTGTATTTTTGTCTTTTGAAACTATTCTGAAACATCAGGACAACATAGATTTCAACCTGATGGCACTTGCAATAAGCTGTTGCTTTGTAACTTCTGAAGCCTTGTCAGGTTTGCTTTCAAGATTTCATAAGTGTTTGAAATAATCCTATCTATGAAGCTGTTTGAAGGATGAAGCAGATCTCTGACTGACGTATAAAAAAGTGCCCTCAGAGGGCATAGGGTGGAGATACATGTTTCTGAATTCAGTAAAATTGATTCCTAAATGTATTATCCTAACCCTGTTTGCTACAGTTGGTATAAAAACACATGAAATATGTATTCAATACCTCTTATGTAACCAAAAACTTTTTTTTATTAGCTTTTAAGGACTAAGAGAGCATCCTGTTCACCTGGCATGGGGTCTGCCTGCATTGCCAGTGAAGTCCTCAACTGTTTAATATTTTGAACTGACATTATTTATAATCTATGAATTTAATCTCTTTTTTGAAAGACATTAATAATTCAGGTCTCTGAGAGGAAACTTCAATTCCCATAAGGGGCTTATTTGTTGGGGATCTTAAATAAGAGCCTTTTTGACCTATCAGAATATAGATATACTGAGTACATTTGATCTTGTTGGGAAGAAGGCAAGTGAAAAGGTCAGAGATGAAGTAGTGAAGTTATGGAATATAGTGAAAAGGATACTAGTTGTGAAATGGGAAGAGACAAGTTATAAGCACCCCAAAAGCAAGACAAGCAGGAGGTGTGAGAGGTGCCCCAAAAGAACAAAGCAGCAATCTTCTAGTACAACCTTTATACCAAAAGACTCTGTTGCAGAGGACAAGAAGCCTTTGGTGCACTTTATATGGGCAGAGGGGGCAGGGCCAGCAGGGCTTCATCCACGCTGATACTGAACATGTAGGCGGATGAAAGCATAGACCTGCTGTTGCTTCCAGCACTAGGAAGAGATTTCTTTTTCCTGAAGGACCCATGGCTTATGTTCCCCTGATTCCTTTTGTTCTCTCTAAGCACTCAGAGAGATGAGGGTAGATGTTTATGTTGCTACTAAATTGAAGGGAGCACTATTTCTTTTTCTTTTTTGTTAGCAAAAATTGCAAAAAGAGTTGTACATTCTTTCAAAAAAAAAAAAAAAAAAAAAAACAAGGGACCTAACAAAGCTCAGCAGTGTTACTGTATTTTTAAAAAAATATTTTTATAGACTCATTTTCAGGTTATTAAATGTAAAAGAAACAGGTACCCCATCTTTTTTTTAAAAGTAGTTAAATCATTGATGGCTTATATTACCAATTTTTAGAAGTAATTTTCTAATAAGCTTGTGGCATTAGAAAATACTAGAAGAGTTTTCTTAGTGAAATTAGTTGGAACATTTGTTAAAGAATATAATAAATATTTTTTCAGAATAAAAATATGGACCCTTGATTCTGTGTTTACTAATAGATAAAGCCAGATATAATTTTTTGTTGTTGTCTTTAAGGCCATAACATATGGTCCTTGTTACAGAACACTAAAGCTAGAAATCTAAAGTAAGAGCAACTTTTCAGTGGCTATTTCCTGTTATTATAAGTGTTAAAACCCCTGCAGAATTCATGATAAGGTGCTATTTATACTATATTTCTTATTATAAAAATACTGCCAGGATATCTAGGCTTTTTCATCCTAAATCAATCAGTAAATTCACTATTTCACCCCAAAATTTTGTCAGAGAAAAGGCGTATTAAAAAGTAAAATTGAAAAACAATTTCAGAGATCTTCCTTTCAGGGTGTTTTTTTTCCTAATAAAATACACTTTCTTGAAGTAAATACATTGTCAAAATCTAATTGTAATTCTGTTAAGTCTAAGTGATTGTTAGACAGTGTTTCACCATAGTATTTAGGATGTGAAATGCTATTTTTTTCATTGACTACACAATATACGTGAAGCACATAAAACAGTAAAAAATTTAGTGTGTGGGGTGCTGTTGACTCCGACTTGGTAGAAAAGCTCTCTGCAGGAGAAGGTGATCTGGAGTGAGAGACGTTTTGCTAATTATAAGTTATGTTCTCTTGATGTAATTAGAAAGTAACTTCTGAAAGTACAACATATGAAAAAAAAATAAGCTGTTAAACAAAAAGGAAGTTGTAGATTAATTTAATTGGGAAAATGGGCAATTGACAGAGACCGTTTCCCTAACACACTACATCATTTATGTGCTAGTACTTTAACTTTTTACAAAATTTACTTCTACATTTTGTAATATGAAATATGTCTGTTTATTTTTAATTTAGAATGTGATACGTACAGAAAGTAATGCAGCCAAATCAATCAGATCAAACTATTTTACCTGGAGTTTGGTACTGGTTTTTATTTCTGATTCTGTATAAGAAAAATAAATGCAATTGAATTTCCACTTGGAGGCTTTGTCTTTTCATTATTTGCATGTGTGCCTTTTGCTGAGGGTTTTGGGTGGTACTGAAGAGAGGCTTATGTAACCCTCCTGGCAGACAATGAAAGAAAGGAAGTTCTGTAGGCAAACATTTTTTGGCTCACATACCTGGCCTTCAACATTCTAAATGTCAACAGAATTCTGGTTTCTGCTTTATTTGAAGTAGCCCCCTGAGATTTTTAAAGATACGTGTTTTTAAAAAAATTACACTGTTCTGTCAACACCCTCACAGATTTGATGAGACGTCAGAACTATAGGACTCTCGTTCTTGTCTGTTGTTAACAATATGTTGTGGCTTCGTTTGTTGTCAAAACTAAAACCAAAACAACAGCCCCATCATTCGTTCTGAGTTTGGGCTTGTGGCAGTACATTTTCTCTGTCTGTTGAGACCTCTGGTTTTCACTGTTGAGCTGATACCTTTGTCGTCCCCTTGACGAGCATTAGGTGAGAACACTCTTTAGCAGAAACATTCCACTAAACAACAAAAAGAGAGCTGTTTGTAGAAACAACTTACCAACACTCCAGAGTCTAATTCTCATGCGTCTTTTTAAAAACTGTATTTGATCATCACTTTTACGGAAATATGTGCTCATTGTTGAAAATGTTACAAATACCAACATGTGTAAAGAAAAAAGTAAAAGTTCAGTATCCCACAAATCTCAGACTTTTAAAAATATATTTAAGTTAGACTCTTTCCTGTAAGTTGGATTTTAACAAAAAACCAATTACACATGCTGTTTCTATGCTTTTATTTTTTCTCTTAATAATAACTGATATTACTAATATTTATTGAGCATTCTCTGCTAGGCACTATGCAAAACACTAAGTACATATTATCTGATTTAATCTGCACAGTAATCATCATTCAATAATATTCCTATCCTGACTTCAGATGAAGAAATTGAGGTAAAGAGAGGTTAAGTAATTTGCATAAGGTCACACAGTAAGCAACAATATATTCAGTGTCTCATGGGCACCTCTTAATGCCAGTACATGTAGTTGTATATCTCATTATTTTAAACCATGAGTAAAATTCTTTTGTATGTACATCCCCTATTGGTTGCTTTCAGTTTTTGCCTCTACTAACAGTGCTGCAGTAAACAGCCTGCTTTTGTGTGTATATAGCTAGAGGATAAATTCCTAGGAAAGGAATCACTGCATCAAAAGATATGTAATTTCAAGGTTTGATAGATTCTGCCAATATTTTTCCCAAAAAGATCTGTACTAATTTATACTCCTAACAACAGTGTATGCAAAAAGCCTGTTTCATCACTGTCAACCTAGAACTGGATGTTGCTTAACTTAAATCTTTGCAAATATGATAGATGGAAAGTATATTACTCTTGTAGATTGTATTCCTTGAATTAATAGTGAAACTGAATTCTCTCTTCATAGTACTATTGCCTTTAGTGGGTGATGTCAGTTCTCCACTCAGATCACCTTAGATTCCTTTTCATTACTTTTATGCACCCAACGTCAGTCCCTGCCCCAGTGTGTTTTTACTTCCAACAGTTAACACCTGTGGCTCTTACAAGGCCTGCTAGAGTCACCTTGACTCCATACGGGCAGAGAGCTAGAAATGCCTAGGAATTTACATCCTCCAACATGACCCTTCACCAATGACAGGTGGGTGTGTGACTTACACTCCAGAGTTCCTCTGTGGGATCAGGCAGAGACCAAACACTAGAGCACGCCCTGCTTTATTTCTTCCCCTTCTCTTTTCTGCTTCCCCCACTCTTACGTTTCCTCTATAAATATCAACTTCCTTGATAAATCCTTTCTTAAATAATTATTTTTTTAATAAGGCACTTGTACGTGAGTCCTTGTACCAAAGTCTGCTTCTGGAAACCAGACCTAATATATTTAGAATATACAACAAACTGGTACAAATTGATGAGAAAAACAAACAGCCCAACAGAAATATGGGCCAATCATATAAATAGGAAATTTACAGAAGATGAAACTGTGTGGCAACTAATTTGCCAACCTCATTACTAATCAGAAATTTAGATCATAATGACATAGCATTTCATTTATAGCAAACTTCAAAATGAAAAAGACTGATAGCAGCAAGGGTTGGTTAGGATGTGGGGAAAGTGGGACATTTAATGCACTGTTGGTGGCAGCATGAATTGATACAGGCACTTTGTAACCTTCAAGTTGAGGCTGACAACTTGGTTTGTTTTGTTGACCGCTGTCTCCCAGTCCCTAGGGCATGCAGTGGATAGCCAGTAAGTATTTGTGGAATGAATTAATTTTTTGGCACATCATAAACCCCAAGAAATAACGTAGTTTCAAAGAGGACACATAAAGAAGCTGTGTTGAAAATAGGGGTCTGGGGGGCTTCCTAGATAATTTAGTTGATTAAACAAATTTGTCACCAATCAATGGGGTGACAGGCATTGCAGCCAATCACATTCATCTACTTGGTCAATCTAGATGATCAAGCAAATCTATGACAGGCATTGCAGCCAAACCAGTTAAGAACTGAGACTTATACTTCTATAGGGTATTCAAGTTTCTCCCTCCTTTCCTCTCTCCCTCCCTCCCTCCCTCTCTTTCTTTCTTTCTCTTAGGATTATAATGTATGGAAAATTCATATATTGGCATTTCCCATTAAAAAATAACCATTATTTTTTAATGTTTTCCTCGGGGCACTAGGTTTTTAAAATTATGTTTAAATATTGTGTGGACATCAAAGCTCCTGGATATATAATTTACTTGATTTCCATTGGGAAATTTCCACATATAAAAAATCTTGTAGGTGTTAAGCTAAAAACATGGAGATGCTCCAATGTTTGCCTTACCACCCAGAATAGATAAATGTATGTAATGTATTAAAATGAATATAGAATCAAGATCAGACTCATTACGTCGTACAAGGAAGACTTGTGGTATGAGTTTCTTGTCAGAGTGAGATGGGTCTATGAATTATGACACTAAAACAGAATGGGTTTATTACAGGGATACCAGAAGATCTGGTACATTCAGGTCCTCAAAGCACAACTAGTGTAGGACACCTAGAAATTTCTCTGAAATGTCCCAAATTTCAAGATTCACCCAAACAGCCAACTTTTTCAGTCCCCGAAGGTTTTGAAAAACTGATAAAAGCTTTAGATGCTGTTCACAGAAAGATGCTCACACACAAAATTTTACACTGAATTCAAGATGGCTCACAGACTCACTGACTCACTGTGTCATAATGCATGGCCCTGACTGAACTGTAAGCTCCTGTAGAGAAGACACTGAGTTTTCTTCATCCTCACATTTCCCATGTCTGTTCAGTGCTTTCAACATACCAGAAGCTCAGCAAGTACATACTTCCCGGATGAATGAATGAATGAATGAGTGGGCTCAATATATATTTTTGCTGGTTGGTTGATATTTGCGACCCTTCCCTGAGAATGTTGGGGGATGTCAAGGAAGGTCGTAAGAGTCCTGTATTGTTGTCAGGAGAAACCAAATCTGGCTTAGACCAGGGTCCTCAAATCCACCTCATTTTCTTCACAGCCAGCTGTCTGGAAAATTTGGTATGGTATCCAGCTGCCTGGAAAATTTGGAAGCCATTGTAGGTTCCAGTGGAAGCTCTCTCATTGACCTTAGATTCTGCAACCCTTTCCTGCTGGCTTTCCTTTGAAACGTAGAAATGTGAGTTGACAAACTTGAACTGTGGTTAGCGCAGATGTATAAGTCATGTTTAGAAATATTAATTTGTAGGGGCCACAGATAGTTTACATGTCCTAATTGGAATTTTCTCCTTGTAAGTCATTAGGTCATATAAACAAAATAATACACACTTCATATGTTTGCAGTCTGAGGACCAGAAGTAGGGTGATCACCTGTCCTGGTTTGTGTGGGACTGAAGGGTTTCCCAGGACTCAAGATTTCAGTGTTAAAACTGTCAAACTGGGAAAAGTTGGAAAGCACGCAACATATACTCATTGACAAGGTGGGCTATGTAATTTGTGGGACCCAGTGCAAAATGAAACTATGGAGCCCCTTGCTCAAATTTATTAAGAATTCTCAGATGGTGGCCGCAGAGCATTAAACCAGGTGTGGGGCTTTTCTGAGTGTGGGGTGCTGTGCAGCCGCCCGGGAGACATGTCCAGGAGGTGAGCCTTGTTCATTCGTTCTTGAAAATGCTGTTTATTCAAGCCTGTAGATCAAAGCATTTTAAGTGCTAGTGTATGCCTCTGTAAGAAAAAGAAGAGGTGGGCCTGGCCAGTTAGCTCCACTGGTTGGAGTGAAGCCTCATGACACCAAGGTCATGGGTTCAGATCCCCAAGCTGCCCAGCAAAAAAAAAAAAAAAAAAAAAAAAAAAAGCAGAAGCTAACATAAAGGGCCTCATTAAAAAAAGGAAAGAATTATAACTATTAAGGTGGGGAATTATTAACATTTTCTCCAAAAATAACCTCTCACTAAACTTTGCAGACAGCTAGCCCTGTTTCCAGTACTTGGAGAGAGTGACGACCTTTCTTGACATCTCCAGCTTTCTCAGGGTCACTGATATCAACCAACCAGTGGATATGTATGTGGAGCCTATTCATTCATTCACTCATTCATCAAAAAGTCAGTACTTCCTGGGCCCCTGGTGTGTCGAAGACACTGAATAGGCGTGGGAAATATGGGATGAAGAAAACCCAGTCGTTTCTCTGGAGGAGCTGATGGGGGAAGCAGGGCCATGTGTTATGGGGCAAAGAAATACAGGAGCTCAGAGTAGGGAAAGAAGAGGAGCAGCCTCAAATAGGCCATGGTGTCTGAGCCCTATTCTTCAAGGAGTTTCTCAGGTACAGGCAACAGCATGTATGAAAGCACAGAATTTTGAAAGAGGTGTGACAAGAAGGCCCTGGAGGGAGAGTGTATGGGAGCAATGAGGTGGGAGGTCAGACCAAATAAAGCAGGTGGAGAGCAGTCCTGAAGGGGCTCGCCTGCTCCGCTCCAGAGTTGTGCAGGAGTTCACCCTACACAA